GTGGGGGGGGCGCAGGGGCCGGGAGCTGCGGGGCGGCGGCGCTGGCCCTGCGGCGGGGCGGCGCGGGGGGCACGGGGGGCAGCACGGCCAGCAGCGGCTACTGCAGCCAGGAGGACTCCGACTCCGAGCCCGAGCTCTTCTACACCGCCCGCACCTCCCTCGGCCGCCGTCCACGCCGCCGCCAGGTCGGTCCCGGGCCGTGACGTCATGGGGGGACACGGCTGACGTCATCGAGGACACACACACACCCCGGGGCTGGGTGCTGGGGAGCAGGCGAGGGTGGGCTTGGTGCGTGGGGAACACACGGGATGTGGGTGGTCCTGTCCGGGAGGTGAGCGTGGGTCTGCTATGGGGTGAGCATGGGGGTGAGCATCACCCTGCTGCGAGGTCAGTGTGGGGCTGGGCATGGGGTCAGCGTGGCAGCAAGAGTGGCAGCAAGCATGGCCATGCCATGGGACACGTTGGCCCTGTCCAGGTGGATGTGGGGTGAGCGAGGCACCGTGGGGTCAGTGGGGTTTTGCTGTCTGGCACAGCCACCCCAAGGCTCTCCAGGCTGGAGCTGCTCCCAGAGAAGGCAAAGGACAGCATTTGGGGGTGACAGGGTGAGCCCCCCAGGAAGCCTCACAGCTGTCCCCATCCTGCAGGGATCCCTGCAGGGTCTGGCAGTGCCTGCATGCTGTGGGGTGGCTTTCAGAGCTGGGAGCCCCTCAGCGCCGTGGGGACACGTGCAACACTGTGTGGCAGCTCCGTGGCCCCACGTAAATACTCATTAGTGGGTGCGGGTGGCAGGGACGCCGAGCCGGGATGCCTGGGTCCCCCTTGTGTCGGGCCAGCACTTTGAAGTGGGGTGCCGGCGGCATGGGCGGGCTGCACCCCCGGCCCGGCCCTCCTGCCTCAAATCCCAGGGCGTCCCCGCGGGCTCCCAGCCTGCCCAGACGCCTTGGTGCCGGGGTGTCGGCTGCCGGCGCTCTGCCTTGGGACGCCTCTCTGATCTGAGGTGCCGGGAAGGGACGCTCATCCCCGGGTGTACTCGCAGCCGAGTTCACCCACCCCCGCAGCCCCACGGACGAGGGCTGGGGTGGCGGCCGGTGCCGGTGTCCCCAGAGCAGGGCTGGGGCCGCGGTGAGCTCAGCTGTGCTTCCCCGGCACAGCCCAGCTCAGCGCCAGCCGGGCTGATGCAACCCCGCGCAACAGCCCGCGCGTGTCCATCGGTGCCGCGGGATGGGCCGGGGGCCGGCGGGATAACCGGGGTAGGCGGGGAGCTCCCCCCCGCCTGCAGTGCTGCTCAGCCCGGCTGCTGTCACACAGGATGAGCCCAGCGAGTGGGAGAAGACAGAGCTGGACCAGACGCAGGTGGAGCAGCGGATCAAGGAGTACAACAGCCAGATCAACAGCAACCTCTTCATGAGCCTGGTACGGGGCCAGCGCAGGGCTGGGCGGGAGGGGCACGGTGCCTTGCCCTGTCTCCGCTCACCCCCCCACTGGTGTCTCGCAGAACAAGGACGGCTCCTACACTGGCTTCATCAAGGTGCAGCTGAAGCTGGTGCGCCCAGTCTCGGTGCCGGCCACCAAGAGGGGCCCCGCCCTGCAGGCGGGGCGGCCGCACAGCCAGGGCGTGAAGCGCCGGACCTCCTTCTACCTGCCCAAGGGCACCGTGAAGCACCTGCACATCCTGTCGCACACCCGTGCCAGCGAGGTCATCGACGCCCTCCTCCGCAAGTTCACCGTTGTTGACAACCCCCGCAAATTTGCCCTCTTCGAGAGGTCTGAGAAGGATGAGCAAGGTACTGCCCTTGACGAGCAAGGTGGCCCTGTCCCCACAGCGGTGGCTGTGTCCCCATAGTGACAGTTTCCCCTGTGGTAGCAATGTCTCCAGAATGATGGGGTCTCCCATGCTGGGAGCATCCCCATGGCAGTGGTGTTTTCATAGCAGTGGTGTTCCCCATGGTGGCAGTATCATGGCAGCAGTGTCCTGCCTGACAGTGGCAGCTTTCCCAGGGTACCAGCAGCATCTCTGTGGTGGCAGCATCCCTGTAGCAGTGGTATCCCTGCTTTGGTGGCAGTGTCCTGTGTCACCATGGGCGTGTCCCTCCCCGCCTCCCTCCTCCCGTGGCAGCAGATTCCCCCATGTCAGTAGTTTACTCTGTGATGATGGTGTCCCTGTAGTGGAAGCATCCTCGTGGTGGCAGCATCCCTGCAGCACTGGTATCCCCCCTTTGGTGGCAGTGTCCCTTGTCACCATGGGTGTGTCCCCCGTGGCAGCAGAGTCTGCCATGGAAGTGGTGTCCCCCGTGGCAGTGGTGTCCCCAGTGAGGGTTATGTCCCCGTGGTGGCACTGTCCCCCTGGCATTGTCCCTGCTGTGACCTGTGGCCACCCTTGCAGTGTACCTGCGGAAGCTGGGTGACGAGGAGCAGCCCCTGCGGCTGCGGCTGCTGGCCGGCCCCAGCGAGAAGGTGCTGAGCTTCGTCCTGAAGGAGAACGAGACCGGGGAGGTGAACGTGAGTGTGGGGGGACAGGGAGGGGGCTGGCACCCGCATCCCTGGGGAGAGGGGGCCGCGGGGGGACACGGCAGGTCCCCGTCGCGATGGCAGCCCCTGTGCCTGCAGTGGGACGCCTTCACGCTGCCGGAGCTGCAGAACTTCCTGCGCATCCTGCAGCGGGAGGAGGAGGAGCACGTGCGGCGGCTGCGGCACCGCTACGCCCGCTGCCGCCAGAAGATGCAGGAGGCGCTGGCCACACGCACCCCGGGGTGACCACGACGGCCGCGCCCGAGGCCAGCCAGTGCACCGGGACTCTCGTCCGCCGGCGGGTGGGGGCACCGGGGAGGGGGGTGGAACGGGGCACCACGGACCCACCGGGCTGTCACAGCCCCCGTGGGGCCGGCCCAGAGAGTGGGAGTGCCTGGGGGGAGCGAGTGTCACCCGGGAGTGGGTGAACCCAGGGGAGCGAGTGTCACCTGGGGGATTGGATGTCCCCAGGGGAGTGGGTGTCCAGAGGGGAGCGAGTGTCACCTGGGAGTGTGTGTCCCCAGAGGAGTGGGTGTCCTGAGGGGAGCGAGTGTCCCCTGGGGGATTGGATGTCCCCAGGGGAGTGGTGTCACCCGGGAGTGTGTGTCCCCAGAGGAGTGGGTGTCCTGAGGGGAGCGTGTCCCCTGGGGATTTGAGTGTCCCCTGGGGATTTGAGTGTCCTGAAGGGAGTGAGTGTCACCTGGGAGTGTGTGTCCCCAAAAGAGTGGATGTTCTGGAGGGAGCAAATGTCCCTCTGGGAGTGGGTATCCCCAGGGGAGTGGGTGTCCAGGGGGAGTGAGTATCACCTAAGAGTGTGTGTCTCCAGGGGAGTGGGTGTCCTGGGGGAAGAGTGTCCCTGGATGAGTGATTGTCCCTGTGGGGGAAGCAGGGCATCGAGCACCAATAAAGACATCTTGGTGAAGAGGCCTGGCCTGCGGTGTGTCCTTGGCTGGGCGGGAAGGGACGGGACGCGGAGCCCCCCGCGCTGCCAGCGTGCCGTGGATCCCCGCACATGGTTCGGGGGAGCAGCGGGAGCGGCGGGACTCGAACCGGCGGTCCCCGGGGCGGGAAGGAGGGCGCGCCTCGCGCCGCCGTCACGTGTGGCGGGCGGCGGAAGTGGCGCAGCGGCGGCGCAGGCGGCGCTCGGTCGGTGTCGCCGGGCGGCTCCGGGCCGGCCCCGTCCCTTCCCCCCCGGCCCCGCTCCCGCCGCCGCCGCCGCCCCCGCCATGGGCGCCAGCGGCTCCAAGTCGCGGGGGCT